TTTTCAAAAGTTTCACTTATGATGATGATAGAAGTGTTTGGCTTATTTCTCTGGTTTTATCTGGTTCTAATATTAAAGCGGGGACAAGTTTAGGGGATTCTGTGCAGGTCGTAGTCATCACTGAGTATAAAGCCCAACAGTGTTACTGTTGCTCAGTGTGAGTTAATTTGACTTACTGTCAACTGAATAAGGTAAAACTTTTTAACTCCAGTGTGGTACTTCATTCTCTGTAGTTTTTCTGTGTTGGCCTGAGCGTAAAATAAATGTTTAAAAAGCATCAGACGTAGCATTTTGGCAGCCTAGGGAATGGGTTTATGGACAGATTGCTGTAGGCTCGGGTGAGCGTGTCCTTTCAGATGATGTGCTCTCTGCTAGTGGCTGTATGGGTATGAGCTTAGTTTCAAAAAAGGGGAAGAACGTGATTTGCCCCACCCCCCTTAACATAATGGCTTCTGAAAAAACTTTCTTAGCTGAGCTCAAAGCTTGTCAGCAGTTTACAAGGAAAGATTTCTGCTGTGGTGATGCTGAAATAACGTGTGTCTCATAAGGATGCTCTATCGTGAATGAACGCTTGGTTTGTTTGGTTTTCTCTAAGCCAATACATCTGTCTTTTGGGTTTTGTTTTTGGTTTTTTTTTGTAAAAGGAAATGTATTGATCTACAGCTTTTACTTGTGTGTGCATGTTTGTATGTACACATGAGCATATACATAAATATAAATAAATATGTACATGTTCATTATTTCTGCCTAGGAAGTAGCATCTTCGAAACTTCATTGGGGTTTTTTGTTTGGTTCTTTTTTTTTTTTTAGGAGAACTATATATCAGATCCAACCTCTCTGTGGAGGGACTATCCGCACACTCTGATTCCGTAAGGCTTCTTCCTTAGAGGATTGTTGGGGAGAGGAGGGAGTGTTTTAAATTTAGGGTGTGTCACACATAATATGTGCAGAATAAGTAATCTGTAAAACTACATTAGTTACTAATGTATTTTTGCTCATATTTATGGAAGAACTTGGTTCTCTCAATTTGTAGCTTACGGAGTTCTCTTTCTGTAAGCTATTGATTAAAGAATTACGTTTTTGCAAGCTTTATTTATCTTAATGATTTTGGTTTTTAAAAAAAATCTTCTGAGTTGGCTGGCTTGAAGGATCTATATTTTTCTTTCTTTAGAGGCAGTGATTAAATGTGTTTACTAGAATGTTTCTGAAATGTTTTAAGTTCATGAATAAAAAGTAATATTCTTCAATTCTTGCTGTATTGTACAGGTTTCAAATGAAGTTTTTCTACATCTTACAGTTGGCATACTGGTTTCATGCTTTTCCAGAATTGTATTTCCAGAAAACTAAAAAAGTAAGTTCAAATTGTAAATTGAAAGAACTCCAAACAAAGCGACTCGAACAGTGGAATAGTTAATTTCTTTTGGACTTCCAGAGTAATGTGTTACTCTAGATTTCCTGTCCCATTCTTGTGAGTGTTACCCATTTTTCCTGATGGAATTTTGGGTGCTTATATGTCTCTGTGAGAAGGTAGGTTTTTTTCTCATCAGTTATATCCTGTATTTCTAACTGCAGTAAAGTAGCTGTATATCTGTTGTGTAAGTAAAAATTACTAGTGTTTCTCGTCTACTAAAAGAATGTTCCCTTGAGCAAATGAATGTGAGATTTTCTTTTCAAGCTTTGTTTCTTGTAATTAGTAGTCTGAATAGTCTCCTGAAATCTATAATTACTTCATGAATCATGATACAGGTGTAGAATATAAACAGTGAATAATTTGATAAATCCAAGGACTATTAAACTCTGAGATTTGATTAAATACCACTGTCCTCAGCAGAAGTTAGTTGTATGTTGAGATTTTTCAATGCTCAATTTTTGACAGCATCCTTTTCCCCGTAAGAGTTTTGTCTGTTGGGGTTCTCGAAACACTAAGTTTACTGTAGATTTTTTTTTTGTAGCACACTTCTTGCCTTCCTGGACCAATTTAAGTGGTCTCTTTGCATGATTTTGCTCAGGCTTATTTTGCCTATGTGGTTCCTTTTAAAACTTTAATGTTTTAAACTCTTCAACATGTCTTCACCAAGGGCAAATCATGCTTGTCTAATTTAGGGGTCTGCTACAGTGGAGTGACTGCATCCCCCGCAGCATTCTTACCTGTGAATTGGAGAGAGGTGGATTTGATGGATGGACTGTTAGATGGATAAGGAACTGGCTGGTTGGCTGCTTCCGAAGAGTTACAGTCAGTGGCTTAACATCCAAGTGGAAACCAGGAATGAGCTGTGTTCTTCAAGTGTCCATACTGGGACCAATGCATTTAATATCAGTGGCGTAGACAGTGGGATTGAGCATATCCTCAGCAAGTTTGCAGGTGACACCAAGCTGAGTGGTGCAGATGATTTGCTTGAGGGAAAGGATGCCATCCAGAGGGGTATTGACAGGCTTGAGGAGTGGGCCCATGTGAACCTTATGAACTTCTACAAGGCCAAGTGCAAGGGCCTGAACATGGGTCATGGGAATCCCCAACATCAGTACAGGCTGGAGGATCAAGGGATTGAGAGCAGCCCTGCAGAGAAGGACTTGGGGGTACTGAGGAATGAAAAATTGAACATGAGCCAGCAGTGCGTACTTTCAGCCCAGAAGGCCAGTTGTATCCTGGACTGTGTAAAAAGAAGGGTGGCCAGCAGATCGAAGGAGGTGATTCTGCCCCTCTGCGCTGCTCTGGTGAGACCCCACCTGGAGCACTGCGTCCAGCTCTGGAGTCCTCAGCACAAGAAAGACATAGACCTGTTGGAGTGGGTCCAGCAAAGGGCCACAGAAATGATCGCAGGGCTAGAACATCTCTCCTATGAGGAAAGGCTGAGAGAGTTGGGATTGTTCAGCATGAAGAAGAGAAGGCGCTGGAGAGACCTTATTGCAGCCTCTCAATATTTGAAGGAGACTTACAAGAAAGATGGAGAAAGACTTTTTATCAGGGCCTGTAGTGACAGGAGAAGGAGCGATGATTTTAATCTGCAAGAGCTTAGATTTAGATTAGATAGGAAGAAATTCTTTATGATGAAGGTGGTGAGACACTGGAACAGGTTGCCCAGAGAAGATGTGGATGTGCCCCATCATTGGAAGTGTTCAAGGTCAGGTTGGACAAGGCTAGAAGCAGCCTGATCTAGTGAAAGATGTCCCTGTCCATGGCAGGAGGGGTTGGACTAGATGATCTATAGAGGTCCCTTCCAACCTAAACAATTCTGTGATTCTGTTGTTGCTCTGTGACTAGCCTGTGTCTCCGCTGCCAGAGTTCTGCTTTATTCAAGAAAATGAAGCATACACGTTACGTAACCGTAGGTCTCTGTTCAAGAGCCTGGAAGAGGCTTCAGAAAATAGTAATGAGGTGCTTTGTTTCCATGCTGATCAGACACAGTATAAACACTGATGTTTTGCAGATACACTGCAGCTGATGTTTCCATATTGTGCTGGTGATATCTCTCAAATTTGACTTCATATCCAAGCGTGGAGTTTTTTTAACATAACTTCAAGAAAGCTGTCACACGTGGCAGAAGTGCTGTATATTGAGTAGTAGTGTTTTACTGGGTCACTGCTTGGAATTTTGGCCTCCATCTTTTGCATCAAGTTTCAAGAATGATAGATGGTTTGGTTTAGCAAGTTCATAGTTGAGACTTCTTTCACCACAGTTTAACCTCTGCCCTCTTGGCTTCTCTGCCTTATTCTTTCTCTTGAAGGAACTGGCTTCTTTTACTCGGGTCTAGTTGTCTGTACTGCCGACGTAGACAAGAAAAGTTAACTCGTCTTTCTGTATCGTAGTGTATGCCTCCACCCGTGTTACTGCAGTAGGCCTTCAGTCTCTGACACTTTGTCTAAAGAGGCTGCATGGGCAATTTAAATGTTACCTCAGTTCTGAAGATAAAGTGCAAAAAGCTCATCCTGCTAGTGCTTTGAGAAACTGAGCATTGGTACTGACTATTCGCTAATTTGTCTGAAAGAACGTGGGTTTTATTTTCTCTCAGATCCGCTAGAATAGGTCTTTCTGTGTCTCTTTTCTTGCTTTTTGTGTATGCGTGTGGTGTTTGCTGTTGCCACAAGTATTTGATTCTGTGCTTTTGTTGGCTTTGAGGTGGAGTATTGCATAACATAGCACAGATCTTACAAGATTAAATTTTTTTAATTACATGTATACAAGACAAAGTTGGAGCCCCTTGCTTGAAGTTTATGGAATCTTTCCAAAAAGTAGGAGTTTCTTAAGCACAGCTGAATGTACTCTGCGTACCACTTCAAGACAGATTCTTATTGTGATCTAGCATACTTTAGTGAATCTTCTGTTCCCAGGTGGCACCTTCTGGTTTTGGTGTCCTGTGTGTCCATGCTTGAATTCATGTCTCTTTCTCTTTACTGTTTTTTCTCCGTGAAGTGGAGTGGGGCTGGCTAAAACCTAATTTGAAGTGTGACCATGTGGCTTAGCATGACTGGTTAATAACATGAGTCTCTGTATTTGCCAGCAACAGCATGCCAGAGTCTTGGATGATCTTGAATTTTAAAACAGATGTCGACACTTGGAAACCTTTTCATTTTGGTTCATAGACTGTTATTTTATTTCTGTAGCAATCTGACAGAATCTGATGGGCAGCAAACACACGAAACTGTAGGAAGTTATCTGAAGTAACACATACCAAATAAGTATTGTAATAGCTAGTACAAATTCACAGTAGTCACAGCCAATAAAAATGAGCCCTTTTGAAAAGCATCTCTGATGTTTGATGCGTTTTCTCACAATAGCATATGTCTAAGGTACCAAATGTTATTGGTAACTCAGCATTAAGTTACGTGTGGAATTTGATGACCTAGGCTGAGTAATTCAGTGCCAGAACAGGCCACGCTAAGGTAGCTGATAAACCAAGAAGATTATCCAAGACTAGGGAATAGTTTGTAACAATATGTAACATTGTACAATAATGTATAATGTTGTGTGTAATGCGTAATTACTTTTTTCTTCCTAATAGGAAGATATTTTTCGCCAGATTGTCTACATTGGACTTTATCTCTTTCATATTGCTGGAGCCTACCTCCTGAAGTAAGTCAATTGTAAACTTCTGCTGGCTTCATTTGCTGTCTTAAACGTCTAACAAAATGTCTGAATGTTGGATTTATTTGTTTTGATAGTCTGACCCATCTTGGACTTGTTCTTCTGGTACTGCATTACTTCGTCGAATTTCTCTTCCACATATCCCGTCTTTTCTACTTCAGTGATGAAAGATACCAGAAAGGGTAAGTAGTCTTTATCTTTTAAATTAATATAATTTCTGTCTCAAAGCCCTGTACATTTAACTAACCAGAAACCAAAATTACAAGGAAGTTCATACAGTGTTTCTTTAGAGGCCACAGTTCTCCAGACTAGTTTTAGTATTTCTATCTCTAAAACAACTGGGTTTTTACCTTATTTGCCTACTTAAGTGAATGTTAGTAGCAGTATAAAATTAAATAAAAACATTACATTATGTACTAATATTAAAAAAAATTCTTAGAGGAATGGCATACGTTGCTAATACAGGCAGTTCTGATAGGAACTAACATGCTTATGTTCTAATAGTAATGGGAAGCACTTCCTGTTGAGTTGAAATTAGTTTTCAGAACATACTTTTGGTTTCTAGAAAAAGATTGTGAGGCAGGGCTTTTCGTTTTGTCTTCTACGACTACTAGAAGTGCAAGACTAGGGTAGGTGCAAAAGAATGAATTTAGGTAGGTTCTTAAATTTCAAATGAATTCACATGGTAAAAAGGTGAACTTCTGCATTGGTAGTACTTGTGTTGTGAATGGAAAATTAATTTCGTGTTTGTGATGTTTTTCTTTGTAGATTTTCACTGTGGGCAGTGCTTTTTGTTTTGGGAAGGCTTCTCACCTTGATTCTCTCTGTCCTCACTTTTGGCTTTGGACTGGCAAGAGCAGAAGATCAGCAGCTGAATTTCAGTACTGGAAACTTTAATATCCTGGCTGTTAGGTATAGTAAACTTGGAACAGTTCTTAAGCATGAGCTGTAAACTTGTGTTAAATACACAATATAAACTGTATGGTATTAATGCTAGTAATGCTGAGTGGTTAGGTGTTTTCATGCAACCGATAGGATCAACAGGAATAGCTTCTCTAACAAACTTGTAAGGCACAGTGAAATGAATTGAAATTAATTGAATAATTTACAGTCTACAGCTGAGAAATCTGTAACTCGTTTTCTGTCAGAAAAAACATAATTAGAAGGAATATCCATTTGCAGAGATTACTTTGAAATGTTCTAGAGTTAGTGAATTGAATTCTAGATATAATTGCAGTGAGTTTACCTATAGAGGTCAAGCCATTGTGCCCAGAGTATCTTTGGTCCTGGTTGAAGATGCCTACCTCTTTCTCTGCATTAATATGGCTGATATGCGATGCGGAATGTTCATCCAACCACCTGGCCTTTTTATGAATTAAATCCAGAAAAGGAAGTTATTAAAACACTGACAATGTCAGTATTACCCTGCAGAATTGTTACTAAGACCTGCAAGACTCTCTTAAATAATTTTCAGCTGCTACTGCCTGGTACCCTGAGAGTAACACTGAGAAAGGAGAAAGCAGGAAAGAAATCTAGTGCTTCCCAGTTTTGATGGAGGGGTGAAGACTTTGCTCTCACTGTAGATGTAATTTTTGTGAGCTGTGCTAAGTCCAGTTGCCCTGTGTGAGCTAACTCTTGCATGGCTTAGAAAATGGCTGTTAGTAGGAGGAGGAGGGAAGTCACAAGAAAAAAACCCAAATCTTGAACTTGTACAAATTCATGCTATCTAGAAGGAATCACTCTAATGTGTTTGAGGAATCTGAGTAAAAAGGCAGTTTATGACATACAAAAAACTATCTGAGGTGGTGTTCTACTTCCCTTTTTTCTTGGAATAATGAGATAAATTTACTGATAAACCTTTACCTGTGTGTTGTTTCTAGAATCAGTGTGCTGGCCTCCATCTGCATGGCTCAAGCATTTATGATGTGGAAGTTCATTAATTTCCAGCTTCGGAGGTGGAGAGAGCATTCTTCTTCTCAGCCTCAGTCAGTGAAAAAGAAGTTCGTGACAGCTAAAGGAAAGACCTCCAGAAAAGAAAGAGGTTTGTATTTTCAGTTTTCCTGTTGCCTTGACTTCTCAAAAACAACTTTAGGTAATGGAGAGCCTTTTTTTAATATAATTGCTAAAGAAACATTTTATGTCTCACTTGCAAGTGAGATGACTCAGTTACAGAAACAGTGTTGGTGAATATTGTTGTGGGTTACTGGTTTTTTTGTTTTAATTAAAAAAATTCACTATATATTAATTGTTTGGTTTTCTCTTCTAATTGACTGAATGAAGGAATTGCCATTTCTTTAGTTAATGCAACATGAGATTTTTATTATTTTTATTACTTGAGCAAAATGTGTCATGCTTATGTTTTGTTCCCCTATAATAAGGCAACAGAGACATTTTTAGATCTGTTCTCATCATCCATTACTTCCAAATTTTTCTTGCATTTAATTTCAAGGTTATTTTTCATTGCCACTAAACTCTGACGTTTTAGGGCAAGGAAATGGTTTGATGATCTAGTAAATAAGCTCATATTGGACTGTTTTTTACTAAAAATAGAATTTAAATACTTCTGAAGGGAGGTAATAACTACTTGCTACTCCAAACCTGCGTAGAAGCGTTTGGAAATGAACTAATGACTCCAGGTTTGACTTCTTGGTTATGTCACACTCTTTTTATGGAATGGGCATGAAAGATGAACTGAATGGTTTTTTCCTGCAAGGAAAATTGTGCTCCATTAAAAACAAAAAAAATCCCCACACTTCAGTGTTTTTGTTGTACCAACAGTGAAGCTTCTGTGTGTTTTAATTGCTAGGCTGAATAACTTCAGCACTTTTTTGAAGCTGCTTGAGTCATTTGAAAACCTTGTTTCAGCATGATTCTTTGCTATGAATCGTTTATTGCTAACCTGTTCTACTCTCTGATCTATTGAGATCAGAATATGTGTGAAGACCATTTGCACTGAGAACTAAGATTTGTGGTCAAGAGATCAATTCAGTGATTTTTCTTTTTAATTTTTTTTCACGTTTCTTTTTTATTAAAATAATGCGCTTCAGCGTTTTTCTGTACTCCCTTTTGATGATTTGTAATTATCACAACTTGGCTTTTGTGTGTTGTTGGGGTTTTTTGTTTTCATCAGAAAATCCAGTTGGACTTTTTAAATTGAGTGAAGGTGGTTTCCTATGTAGGTGTCCTACTTAATCAGAGCTTCATGTTCATTGTGTCTTACTGTGTTTTTTGTGGAATTCATTTAAATCTTCTATGATGAATATTTTTAAAGCATAAACTTAAATGGCATTTTAACCAGTGAGTCAAAAATGTAGTAGCTTTTTAAAATCTCTTAAATGATTAAATTCATGTAGTTTGGTGAATTTGCTGCTTTTCACCCACCTTCAATGGAGACTTACTTGCAAGTGGTAAATGAATAGTGAAAAAGGCAGTTAATTGGACTTGTGGTCTAATTCACAAAATAATTGAGTTGTGCCTGTCTTAAAGACTGGGGAATTTTACACCTTCTTTTAAATGGAAAGAACTTCAAAATATGAAAGGTTAGCATTGTTTACAGGAATCTTCAAACAGAAGAATCTGAATGTTACCTGTTCAGAACACTTGCACAGGATGCAGCAAGACAGTGGTTTTTGAAAGAGTGATATATGCAATTGAACTGTTTAAAGCAGTCTTTCTTCTCTTCTTTTTTCTCTTCTTGTTTTGTGGTTGGAGGGATTTTTGGCAGCCAGGGCACGATAAAATGTGATACTTTTAGACTATGCCAAAAGCAAGAAATGACAGTAGAAAAATCCTACTGGTAATGTAGGTGGGGTACCCAGGCACATGCTGTTTCTTGTTCTTTGTTTTACTTTCACTTGTTTTGACTTAACTGTTGAAGAAAATAGGATTTCAGTTAGCTGGCTTGGGTCTAGCTCCTTGCTTGTAAGCTGCTTGATTTAAGAATAACACAAACTTTTTGAAAATTATCTATCCAAAGACCACCTTATGTAGGCTTAAAATGGTGTGTGATCTACAACCAAGTACGTTGGATAGACTTTGTTCCTGTGTGACTAATTGGGCCTGTGTCTGGTCTCATTCTAGCGCATGTTTCTGATTTTTTTTTTTTTTTTTTTTTTTTTATCGCTTAGACGTCCTTTCTTGAGGCCGCAGCGTCTGCCTGCATCGTCGGCCGGCATTTTTCTTTTT